CAGTCTAGGTCTAGAATCTTCCTGATCCGGCAGTGCTTTCTTGTTCTCCGCCATAACGCGTTATAGCTTCGAGACCGCGGACGTAAAGTTGCAGGCAGACTTGAATAGTTGGCGGACGTTCGATTCAACCAGATATGGATTGATATGACTAGAAACTTGCAACCCAAGAGCTGCTTTGTACGTCCCTTCAATCGAAAATTCTTTCCATCGAACGGTTTTTTGGAATAATACCAATTATCAAGTAATTGTCCTTCACAGGAATCTGAGGGCCGACTCTCCAGCTATCGAACGGTGCTCTCGAGACCTGATTCGTCCTTGCGACGCTCCGTCGCTGCGCTCTTTCTTGACATATACACGTAGGAATTTTCGAGAAGGAGAGCAGAACCGTATCGGCACCCGACATTTCGAGAGGAAACGTTTACTGATTGCGCCACGTTCAATGACCGCCCTCCCTAAAAATACTCCGTGCTTTATCTCGCAAATGACGCACTTCGGCGGACCCTGAGAAAAACCAGATAGCAGTACACAAGTCGACGCGGAAGACATTGTAGAACACGTGACTGCTCTGATGCCTTGATGATGGGAGTCCGCCTGACCAAGCTTTCTTTACAGCTTCCACCATTGCCAGGCACTCTACACGTGTAACTTGACAATCCATTCAAGTTCGCTTTCATCTGACTCTAGGATACTGCAACGTCTCGGCATTGCTTTTCAAGCAGGACTTGCACTGCCCTCTGTTCTTTAGAATCTTTCCAGAGATGAGTGATTGGGACGCCACCGCCGCTCTTGCGGGCTCAGACTACGCTCAACGCTCACGCGAAATGATTAATCTCGTCAAAGATCTCAGGGCACTCGGGTTGGTGCTTAGTCTCTTTCTGGGTTGCTGTGCAAACTGCTAATTCATGCTAGCGCTGACGCCGAGATTGATCTTCCCCGCATCGCCGTCATTGGCAATCAATCCGCTGGAAAGAGTTCTTTGGTCGAGGCCATCGCTGATGTACGTCTTCGTCGTTCGCCGGTGGGGTGCGTTTACGATCTTATTGTCGATATGCAGATCAAGGTACCCCGTGCAGCCGGGACATGCACCAGGTTCGTCGTGAATCCTCTTCACGGATTGTAGCTATAGTTCATTCTTGAACAGATGTCCCATGGAATTCCGGCTATCTTATTCAGCGGATGCCTGGCGCTCTCAGTATCCCTCAGGTTCGAAAAGAACTCGGCTGGGAATCAACTGACCAACGTGAGGGAGCACAAGTTGGACCGATCATTCACAGTAAGAACGAGCTCGAGGATATGTTACGACGCGCGCAAATAGCGGTTCTCAATCCCAGCACACCGGCTGCTCATTTCGCGACCGCTGACGTCCAACATACATCGATGCTTGAAAAGAGCTATCCTTCTCGCCGAACGTTGTTTGTGTTGACGTCTCGGGCCCGATGTCCCGGATCTATCGTTCATTGACTTACCAGGTGAGGCGGCTTCTTAGTTCATTTACGATTCATAACAATGTCAGGACTGGTATCCAACGAGGAGCGCAACGTTATCGACCTTGTGCGAACTTATCCTGGATCACATTACTGGAAATGCTCTCATTCTGTAACATCACGATGCGTGGTATGATCATAACTTCTCTTGAAAAACAAGCTGACGCCAAAGTAGATGACATCCAAAACCAATCGGCAGCCCTCCTCGCAAAGGAGGTTGATCCACAAGGACTTCGGACTGTTGGTAAGTGACATAACGGGTACTCGCCCTGGAAGGTGATTGATGAAATACACGCAGGCGTCTTAACTAAACCTGACACGCTGCAACCCGGTGAAGAAAGCGACTGGCTGGATATCCTGCACGACCGAAAGCACCGCCTTCATCATGGTTATTTCGTCACAAAACAACCGGGACCACAGAGCTTCTCGAGAATCTCGATCACCTGTCGCTCGGAAGCGTGAAGCAATTACTTCGCCAATACTTGCCTTGGAGAACGTCTTACAGACAACAAAGTCGCGTGTCGGTGTCCCTCATTTGACTAGTCACCTCAGCAAACTGCTTACCGACCGAATTAGCGAAGCGTGTGTTTTTTTTTCTTCATTTCCATACATAAATCTTTCACACTTATCCCTTCATAGTCTACCCATTCTGCGAACGCGTTCCCTGGCTTCTCTTCACCAAGCTCGCGACGACTTGAGAAGCCTTCCGGATCCGCCCTCCGATAACATACTTTCCGATCTGCTGCGCCTCATCAGCCAGTTCGAGAAAACAATCTCTGATTGCGTTGGTGGCTCTATCCACGAACCGTCCGTGATGCAGTACTGTCGAGCGACCTACGATTCATTCAGAGAGAGAATCAAAGCCACGACGCCCGATTTCACCGTTAATGATGATAATTCGGACTCGTCTTTGGAACGGCCTAGGAGTACGAAGGACGTGCAAGCCTTCATCAAGAGGTGAGGTTATTCTGCTCCTCACTGCTCCGATTGCTGTTTACGATGTTTCACTGGCAGCCATATCACACGAGAACTTCCCTTCGATGTACCCTTTGACGCGAAGGCGCACCTCATCAGCCAGTGTCTTGCAGATTGGCCTCACTTTGTCGAGACCTGCGCCGACGACATCTTCCTTCGTCTGGGCGAGCTCTTGGACGTCAAGATTGAACAAACTTTTGGACGTTTTGCCATCTTGAAAGAGAGCGTTAGGTCCGTTCCTAAGCCCTCATGCGCCAATAGTTTGCTAACACGTTCTTCTTCCAGCAACGTCCTCAATAAACTCTTAAATGAAATCCAAGAGAACGCCGCCAAGCATCTAGAGTGGTTACTGGCGCTCGAACACCACCCGTTCACGTTGAACACCCACTATCTCGAGTCTTACCGCGAAAAGTACCTGAAGAAGTTTCAAGAGGAAAAGACGTCTGACGAACCGGTTAGTCAAAGCCAGTCCTTTCCTTGTCATCTATCTTACTGATGGAATTACAGGATCAACCAGCTGATGCGGCAAGTCCAGAAATCGTATTGATGGCCGAGGTTCGTGCGTACTTTCAAGTGGCGTACAAGGTGAGACACACCGCCTTGCTCAAACATGCTAGTTTGACCCTGAAATTGAAAGCGTATTATCGACAATGTTCCTCGGGCCATCGATTACGACGGACTGATGGCGCTCTCCACTCGCGTCAACGAGGCCTTGGTCTGCGGCCTGGGTGTCGACGCGGAAGGCTCTTCTTCACGTCTAAAGGAATACTTTGCCGAAGCTCCAGACGTTACCGATCTTCGCGCAGAGTTACAGGCAAAGCAAAAACGCCTGGAAGAAATCACGACTCGGCTGAATGCCTTTTCCAGAAAATCCGACGCGGGAAGGGTGTCTATAGCCAGGTCGTCTTCAGACTCAATACATCTTCTCCCTTGTCCCCTTTCCGAGCCATGAATCCCCCGAACTCTCGTCCCGTTAGCCAGATAACCGCCGACGTACGCACTGACGGGAGTGATACGGAGGAGAAGGACAATCCCCCCAGTCCTCAGAGCACCGTTGTGAGCCCCGAGCCACACATTCCAAGCAGAAAGAGCAGTATCGCCCCCCGCCGGTCATAGATCCGCAAGAGGTCTACGCCTCCGAGCGAAAGAAAGCTGTCGATTCTGCCCTAAAGTCTCTTCTCGACGAAGTAACCCAGAGAATTTCGACACCGTGTCCGACCGAATTGTTGCCTGGGCGAACAGTCCTGAAGAAGTTGGCGGTGCTCCCGTACTGTCTGCTATTGTTTCAGCAGTTGTACGGAAATGTCTCTCCGCTGGGTGGGTGCCGATGGGCGCAGACATCTGTCAAAAGCTCGAAAAGGACGTTAGATCTCATGTGAAGGGACGGGCAGAGGCAGACCATCCTGTTGAATGCGGTGGCGTGCTTGCTTGCTCCTACGCTCTTCGCGATTTCAAAGTGTTGCTAAGAGGAGAATTCTTGAAGTCGACGGTTACGAACACAATCCAGGAGAGGAAAGCGTACGACTTGAAAATAGCCATTTTTCTGAAAGAAATGATCAGAGTGGGAGTCATAAGCAACCTCGGCATGTTGAAGTATGTTGAGGACAAATTCAACGACAGGAGCTCCCCAGAAAGGCACCTGGAATTGAGCTATACAATTCTGAAGGTGTGCGGACCTTTGTGGAATGACAAGTTTTTACAGGATATCTTCACCGCTATAGAACAGAGAATGGAAGATGTCTCTCCGCATCTAAAGTTGATGTTCCAAGTAAGTTTGGCCTTACTACCCGAGCGGGATATTCACAACATATTTCTACTAGGAGCTCATCGATCTTCGTGAAAGAGGTTGGGTGGACAACCTTGACGACGTAGCCACAAGTGACAACTGACATGGCGCTATCCAGGACAATGACGGGGAATCAATGACGATAGGTATCTACCACGTAGATAGACTGTACTGAATATGAGCTGTACATGGAAGTAGAGAGTTGTATTATTACTGTACTTTAATGTGAGTCCTGAATTCGTCGGCTCCAAACGGAGCCTCCTCAAATGCTTCTCAGCAGCCAAATTCTGATCCACGAGACTCCATTGGGTGGCGCGTGTTTTGCATATCTCATGGAAAGCATGGCATATATCACAGCATAGATAGTCCTCTCCTCCGCATTACGGGCTTGGCCTTGTCCAAGGAGCTCGCAGAGACGCACTTTTGTATGTTTTCACGTCGGGATGAAGCTGCTATCACGCGTCTAGAACACGTGCCGGTAGCGAAATTGTTTAACCGTTTCAATACCGCACGTGCCGCCGCGCTAGCGCTCAGGGAACCTCGGGGTAGCGGGACTAAGGCGGGATGAAGGCGACAGGGCGTGGCGCCACATTACGTGCCCGCAACACGTGCCAGTATCGAAACCATTAGTAACAGTTCCAAAACCTGAGCCTCCTGGGGGGTTGGTATTGATACCATTACTAACACTCTCGGGCGCCGGGAGGCTTACTAATGTTAAGTCGTGCAAAAAAATCAGAGTAGCTCGCCACTGTCATTGACCACCGCAGGGGTCGAACCTGCAATCTCCTGATCCCACGTACTTCGTAGTCAGACGCGATGCCATTTCGCCAGGCGGCCATATCGTCTTTGATGACCACAACGGTCACCAGCTTTTCCTCGAGCGTTTAATGTCTTGGTCCTAGTTAACCATATCGCCCACACTCCAGTTCCCCCTCTCAACCTTTCAAATTTGGATTTTCTCGCCATACCGCACATACTTGGATACGGGGACTGCGATGATGCTTCTCTCCTCAATACACGAGGCTAATATGAGGTGAGCTCCCCATACTGTCTTCTCTCACTCATCCCCCATACTTTATGTATCTACGTACCCACCCTTGGAGTTGTATATACGCTTGCGGGCCCTGGTTTCTGAACTCAGATTATCCACACGTCTAACGTTGCTTCATTGCATGACGATCGCCCGCACAGGTCCACCCGCCGTATGCGAACGAGATAGTCGATCCGTTGAGCTAGACATTGCCGAAGCGACGTACCAGCACAGATCACACAAATGGGAAACAGTATCCTTTCAAAGTCGGGATGAAAGTCCAGCAAGTGGACTCGATTAGATGGGGAGCGAGATTAAAGTACGAATGGACTAGTGATCCATCATCAGAGCAAGAATAAAAGAGCGTACGTTCATAGTCCGAGGCAGATACGTCTATAGTATGATCGAAGAAATAACAAGGATGATGATGATGTCTATACAACAAAACAAATGCGCGATAAAAAAGAGGTGTATGTACGATAGGTAATAAAAACAATCACAGCAGCGACGATTCCTTCAAGCGCGTAACACCGGACTCGTGCGACCGCTTTGCCATCCATGACCGCCCAGACCCACCATGCCGCTGGGATTGGTGTTGTCCCGCGTGGTACGCACGGTCATCGTACTGTCCCACGGCACGCGTCTTACAGTGGTTGGATTAGGGACACGAGAGATGGGAGAAACAGGAGAGCGTGATGAAGGTGGAGATGTAGGACGTGGCGATGGAGGCGAAACGAGCGTGGGAGTGTATCGTGTCGCAGGCGAAGGAGGTGGACTGACAACCCGGCGGGCGCGGAACGAGCAGGCAGGCAGCGTAACCGGATCTGGTGGCTCCGGAGTCGTGATCTTGGGCTGTGCAGGGACGACCACGGGAGGAGTGGGTATTGGGGGAGGAGAGGTGTGGCGTTTGGCGCGGAAAGAGCATGCAATCATCATCGGATCCACCTCAGCCTTCTTCTCCTCGATTGGACTAGGCTCATCCTCATCCAAATCAACCTCCTCGCCATTGATGTACATGACGTTTCTCTTGCGCGCGATGGGCTTTGCAGCGGAAAGCAGGTCGGTCGTGGGAGCAGAGGTGTCCTTGGGGTTGAGCACGAGCGGACTAGGGGGCGCAAGCATCGGAGACGCCACAGCCTGTAGACGCGCCGCATGACTATACACTGGCTCGGATTCGAGGAGCGGTACGAAGGAAAAGTTGTTGCGTGGCGTTGAATACCCGCTCTGAACGGGACTGGGAGTCGATGGCGGGGTGTTGGTGGGAGGATACTGGCGCTCCTCGTCGCTCACTGCGAGCGGAAGCAGGCCAATGGGTACTTTGCCGAGGTAATGGCTGCCGGGTCTCCCTGTGTACATGTCGGGAAGCTGATTTGCGCGGGGCAAAGTGCGTTGGATGGCTGTGAGCTCGAGCATGTCCCTGCATACGAGTGATTAGTAACCGAGTCATGACCGTAATTGAATGAAAACGAGACTCACTGATAGCTCAAATTTCGCGCTGGCTCGCTGGGCGTACGATCCCACTCGTCCGCATCCCATACATCGTAGGCGTCCTCGGAGCAGAAAGATACGCTCTTGCTGCATGGCCTACTTGCATCATTTAGAGATGCCAACAAGGGCGGCGGCGAAGCTGGGTCTGGACTGGGCGGTTTCGAATGATTAGGGCTCTTCAAGCAGCCGCGTCTAGTCCTCCTGGCTGCAGTTCTGAATCCATCGTAGTTGTTATGAGAGCGAGGAAAGGGAGATACGCATAGAATGAATGGCGGGGGGCGGTGGAAGGCTAGTCGGTGTCTAGGACGTGGAGCATGAAAATTGGGCCAAGACAGCATCATGACGGAGTCGGAAGTTATCGGAGAACAGAATAGGGGTATCATCAAAGGGGCTCCGTGAACACGTGTGGCGGTGCCTCGTGCGGCCCGTTTGCGCCACCCTGTGCATACAATTCAGCGCCACGCTAGGTCGTTTTCATGGACCTCTACGCCTCCAGGATACATTCCAGGACTAGTAGCAGTCGTAATTCTCGTCAAACTCCCGCCTCGGTCTCGGGCCAAAGTCGCGCTCTACTCGGAATCGGCCTAGTCAAAGGCCCGCCTCTTAGTTTCATGTCATTTTTGACGTGGCTCTCTCTCTCACATGGCCTTATTATATGATCTCATACACAGTCTTCTGAATCCAACAGCACATTTCACTCACTAACAGCGCGCCGTAATCCCGAGGTAATACAATCGCCACCGGGCTTGCATGTCCGAACGATAAACGTACTGGAGCATGAGTCTGCGCCTTTTTAAAGCCCTCCAATAATATCGGGGAAAGCGTGTCCACAAGCGCCACAAATAGCTCATCTTGTCAACCTGCTACATGCTCGGACGATTCACTACTCGGGATTCATCGGTGCTAGATCACTCCGGCGCGTACGACCCTTGAAAAGCGAGAAGCCCGAGCACTGGGTTTTCGCGTATACAGACAGGTATGAATTTGAAGGTGTTGTCTGATAGTCGTTGGCAATGGCAATATATTTCACTTTGGTCAATCCATGTTCCACCTACCGAGCCGAGAATAAGTTTATCTTATCTAATCACACAAGTCCCACGCCCGTGCCTTGCTCTACGGTGTCCTCCCTTCCTCCGTTCCCGAGCACTCACAGGCCTGGGATGACGCCGAAATCCTTGATAGCGCCTGCCCTTGAACAGGGAACCGTTCGTGCCCCGTTTGTGTCCCTCCACCATCTTTGGTGACAAATGGCAATCCAGTTACTCGATAGACGAGATTTCGGGGACAAGTTGGCTGTTCCTTGGGTATTCGTCAAGAGGCGGCTTCCGAACGCGTATTACATTGCCAGTGAGACTATTGTGGACGGTAATAAACGTGGGGTGCTATCGTTGCGCGTTGCTGAGAAAGCGTCACAGGAGAGGGTAGTGGCGGTTGTAGCGTATGCAGCAGAGCTGACTATGGGGAAGAGAAAATGTGACTCGGATCTGTTTGGTGGTTCTGGATTGGGTGAGGATGACCATCCTTTGCTGCGCCAGATGCTTTGGGCAGTAAAGGGAACGCGCTCAAAAAATCTGATCCCTCGTCAAGGTTTGGATGTTAACGGCACTTGCCGAATCACCTTAGATTACTACCTTATCTTATCTTTTCAACTCTCCCACGCACGTCTCTCTTCATCCAACCATGTCGCGCCTGCTCCGTACCTCCCTCCGACGACCGCCCTTCGCCCGACCATTCACATCAACCTCCAAACGCTGGGCGCCGCGCGCAAAAGGTGCACTTGCCCAATGTCCCTTGGATCATGATGGAGGACTGATGTTTAGCCAACTGCTGGTCGCTCGCCGAAATCGAG